TGTATGATCGGGAAACATAAACTGCCCCATTGATTTTTCTATGAAAAGGCAGTACCTAATTGTCTGGGATATGACCCATGAGGGAGAAACATGATCAAATTTAGAATAAAAAGAAACACGCAAAATCCACTTGAAATGAATGCAAGTTAAGAGCTTGATTACCACCATCCACATGGGTTAACCTTTGGATCAACTTTACTGGTTGAGAGTCATCTTCAACCATGCATGTAAATTCATGAAGCAGCATTGCCTGGACTGTTGAACAAGGTCATTGTGTTTCATAAAACAGCAAATCACAAGGCATAAGTCACATGTTGACGCTGACAGCACAATATGAAATGTGCAGCTTTCTAATAAACCTTTTGTACGGGGCACATGAAATGGAATATATTTTCTCATGTCCAGAGGAACAAGAGTTAAACCTTCAGGGACATTTCATTGTGTTGATCATTGACTGTTTCTACAGGGTTGTCTGACAATGCATGTGATCATCCCTACAGAGGTGTTCTTTGTTAGCATGTCTCTGGCATGCCCAAAGCTTCGGTTGCCACGGTTCCCATGGGACTGTCCCTAAGGACACACACAAACATAGACGAGTTCCAATGCCAACCAGATTTAAGAACACTTCTGTTGCTGCTGACAGAGTCATGGACGTCTGGCGGTGGCAGAAGGCTCCATAACCAATAGTGCAACCTTGGCACACTTGCAGTTAAAAGAGGCCTATACAAGTAGAGATAAAGCCAGCACGTCTGTGTTTCTTCTTGACTCATGTGTATTCTATTTAACAGCATACAGTCAGGACACACTCTGGTAGTGGATGACTCACTGGTTTATCACCTGAGAGATGTTAGAGGCAGAGCAGCTTTCTCCAATTCAATCAAACAGTGCTGGAAACAATAGAAAGGAATTGAAGGACCTCAGTTAATAAGAGGAAATATTTCAGATACTTTACAATAGGGCTGGGTTGTCAAGAACATCATGGTAAATGTTTGAGCTTGTATTAGCGTGTTCGCACTACTCAAAGCGCTTTTACACCGCCTGTCACACCTACAATTCAGGGTTTGTCTTGACCAAGGACACATCGGACATGTTGATGCTGGAGCTGGGGTTTTTCAATGGGTAGTGAGCGTTCGCAAGCAGAAAGCGGCCGTCTGTAGAAAAAGCGCAGCGCCCAGCATCTTTTCTTCCGAGCGCTCTGCCATTTTCGCGCGGCCGCTCAAGTAGAAAATCTTGAAACTTTCCAGAAATGCGCACTGCCCGAGCACACAGCCCGCGCTTTTCTGCCCTGAAAAAACACTTGGTGGACACGGGGTCTAAGGCTTTTATTAACAAACGCAATTATGTTGGATAATAAAGCACAATTAATATATATATGTATGTATGTATACATACAAAAATATCAAAATATAACCTACGCTATTACAAAAACATTACTTCATATGCAGCTGCACTTTTTTAAATTATTTTTTTCATGACAGAATTAAGAACTTCCCAACTATCCAATCACATAAATATGGAAGATTTCCAGTTTCACATTTACACTCTAGCCATATCCTTCATGTTAGTGCAAATTTAAACAGATATGGGTGGATGCATCTCATCACCCTGTACAGCACACAGACTACCACTCATATCAGCAAAACACTATCTAATCTACTGTACTGAGATGAGTTCAAGGGTCCATTCTCACTATTACTAAGCCATCATAGCATTTTAATTTGCAACTGACAGCAATAAAAAGATGGCAATGACAAACTTGAAGTCCACGCCCCTTAAAGATGACCGAGGTTCCAACTTCCCACATAATGTGACAACAAAAACACAAAGTTGCATAATCATCAAATAATCTCTGACCTGGGACAGTCAGCTACTCTAAACGGGTAAACACTGCTCAGTCTGAACATCCAAACACTGTGGAAACTCGTGTTCTAGGAGCACAATTAGTCTGCTTTGATATGTGGCAGAGCCCTAACAGATCTCACACTGTTGTGTGCGGAGAGCACACACAGTTTGTTATCAGCTCTTCCCAGAGGCCTGGCTTGCAGAAGTGTGTCTATAGCAACCTGTGTGTCTTCCATTGTCTCACACGGCTGTGTTAAATACGGCATAGTGAGAACAACGGCATCAATAATAGATGTAGACATGTCATGTCAGGCACTGGCACAGAACATATAGCCTTGCAGGTTGTTAGCCTATCATGCATGCACAAGGGAAAACTCACAATGGAAGAAATGTCTGGTTGGTAAACAACGGGCTATACAGACAGTCTGAGGAGGGAGGGGCGAAAGAGGAAGAGCTGGCCACATGTGTTAACCTTCCTGGCCAGGGAATGATGTAACCTCTCCAGCAGGCTGTGAGAGGTTGTTAAGAGAAATGGTGCTGCACAGTTTGTTTCCATCTATTGGGCCTCTACAATCAGGGGGCCTGTTCCTTAGCTCCATCCAGACCTTGATAAAGTGTCTTCCCTTTCAGAAGTACACAGAAACCAAATGTAGGAGAGACGTTTTTCTCTCAAATATAGGAGAGAAGTTCTTTTATCCACAACATAAAAGTCACCCTTAATTACCAGCAAATGAGTACAACTTTTATAGGCCTGAGTTTGAACGACAGCCTAAGAAGTGAGCATGATACACAATATAACATTTTCAAGATTTCAATAGATGTAGCCTAAACAAAGCAGAGCTGAATATAATCCCCTCTTTAATTAAGCTCACTACAACTCTTACATGCAGGATTTGTCAAGGTTTTTCCGCCAAGTGCTCGCTGTACTGCTCAGTGACAACATGGTACACACCCTCTCCCAGTCGAATGAGGACCCCATTGCTCCCTCCCAGCTCAACACCCCCCCCCCCTTTTACTCCTTTCAGCCATTTTCCCGCCCTGAAGCAGAGCAGGCTGAAGAATGGAAAACAGCCATTCACAACCCTCCACCTTCCCCATCGTCACTGCTGAAGCATGGACAATATGACGCATGATTACAGTTTTAGGAAATCATGTAGTTCAATGGTCTTAAAATCATGAAGAGACCTGATCTGAGGTCCATTCATCAAGCTACCTCATCAATCACAGTATCTCAAAAGGAAATGGTGCATTCAGAAAGCCACACCACCGGTTATATCGAATAACCCCTCCAACAACAGATGACTAAACATACTGTATGTTACTATCCCTCAATTCTATTCCAGTGTATTTTAAATTAAATTGAAAAAATTGCAGAACCACACAACTCTTTCAGGTATATTTGACCTCAGCCTGGGGGAACACAAGGGAGGGAACCCAAAACTTAAATGAAAAATCTATCACAGCATCCAATTATGGGTTGAATTGAATGAAATGAATCCACTCCCAACAAAATCAAGCAGGTTTCGGTGCTGTACTTTTTTTTTTTTTTTTTAAATCAATCTTGACACACGTGAAAATGCAAGTGTAAGAAGTGGGCAAATGATATAGTGATGAATCTGCTGCTGAGGACCACAATTACGTTACCGAGCTTTTGTTAACGCAGGAAGCATGGCAGTCTCCTCTTCCCTCAACACTGTATCCGCCCTTCTTGTGACACTGCAGGCTCCACATGGCCACAGGAGCCATGAGCGTTTTAAAAAAAATAAAAATGAACCTTTATTTTCTCAAGTTGGAAGAAAATCCTGTATGTATCAAATACAGACAACCCGGCGAGTTTATCGACAACGTGAGCCTTAACAATGGAGCTAGAGAAAAAGAAACTAACCTTAATTCATTTCGAGGATGCTTAATATGACATTTCATTCCCAAATGTGTACTAAAATGTTTAGCAGTTCAGTAAGTCAACATGAAAAACTTTTGCAATGCGGTTTTCTCTGAGGTCTTACCTTCACGAACAGCTCGATAACGGGCTCATTATCCGCCTTCACACCGTTCTGCGGCACCGACAGCGACATACTTGCTGCTAAAATGTAAAGTTTTGCAAACAAAGGTTAGTTTTTTTCTTCTGTCCACCACGCCCGGACTCAGCTTGATCCTCTTCTCCACCACTCTTTTTTTTTTTCCCGCACTGAAGCCCAGTAGGCGCTTTTCCCCCCTCTCTCCCCTAAGGAGGACCTGGTGCTGGCAGCAAGAAGAAAAAAAAAAAGTGTGTTTCAGCCCAGCGGACAAGGAGGCTACGGTGAGTGCTGGATACGATTTATATCCTAACTCTAGCTAAGTTACATCCACATTACTGGACTCTGAAGCTCTTTATGCTGGTAGAGTAGTGATGTCAAGAAGGGCTGAGAGAAGCAACGGGAATATTTAATGCTGTGACGTCATCAGAAGCGCAAACATGTAAAAATGTGGGAGGGGCTTGAGGAGGGAGTCTCCTGATTGGGAGGAGGCAGAATGAGGATGTCTGAAAGCTGCTTTACAACAAAGAGTAGGCTAAATCTGTGTAGTCCTACAAAGATATTCTGCATTAAATCAAGAAATAAATTAATTAAAAAAACAACTCCAATGTAGATTGTAGTCTTGTTCTGTTATTTACCATTTTGTTTTGTACCTTTTGCACAATTTAGAATTTATTACTGTAAATATTATTTATCTTATTTTACCTCATTTTATTTGATCTATTTCACCTTATTTTGGTTGTATTGCACCATGGGACGGAGACAAACGCAATTTCGATTCCACTGTATGTCTGGCATGTTTTGAAGTTGACAGTAAAGTTGACTTTGGTCTGTGCACTTCATTTAAAAATTATATTTCTTTAAATTATATTGACCTCTGCTTTGGTTTTTCTTGAATACTAAAGATGTCTATCAAATATATCACATTAAACTATCAAGGATTTTATAGTGAAGGACATTTAGGTTTAATTAGCTGATGCTTGTGAGCTCAACACATTTGGTTTCATTAGACGACTTCCAATCAACATATCTGTTAAATACTAACCTTTATTTTCTTCACCCACCAACAGAGCATTACCAAGTTTTAGTTTAAAAAAAATCTCATTTAAATCACAAATGACAATCGAAAAATTAGAGAGACACTTCCAATAAAAAAGGTTTTAATTCTGAAAGGATGACAAAACAACAAGAGCCAGGGGTTCTAAATACAAATCAAATAGCAGTCCAACAGAGATTAGCTTGGTGAAGGGTGTGAAAGTAAAGTTAATTTCATATCAATCCATTGGGAAAAAAAATTAAAGCATACTCTGTAACACGAGATTGTTACTGACCATTTCAAAAATCATAAAACATCACGTTAAACAATGCCAAAAAACTTCTAAATTGTTATAGTATGGGACACGACTTTCTGTTACTGCCTTTAAAAGTGCACAGTTGTACAACTGTTCCCACTGATTAAAGGCATGAGTAAAAGTTTTACGTTATGTTGGCTTTTTGTCTACACTCCACAAGATCAGTGGTTCATGCACATCAGAGACTTTCACTGCACATGCAATCATTTCTCAATGGAATCTACTGTAGGCTTTGGAAAACATTTTCTAACCTCCCTAACGCATACCTCTGAGCTTAAACCATTCACCTGCTCAATTTAAAAATATGGACAACACAAGCTTCTTTACAGTATAGATAATACCCCAACTGACAAAGCAAGCTCTTAATGACACACAGTTCAGAATGTATCAAACCAGTAAAAAGGAAACAAAAGACTCAAGATTTAACAATTTTTACATTCTAAAGCTGAACCAGGTTGATGACAAACATCAATATAGAGTTGAAAAACATTATTGAGAGAGAACCCCTCGTTTCAGGACATCTGTGATGGAGACATCTGAGCCTTCCTCATGGAGCGCAGGGCCTTCTCGCGAAGGTGCTTTTCCAGGTCATCCAAGCGGTCTTCTACTTCACTGTCTGATTCCTAAAAGACAAACAGCATGAAATACACATTTTTCCCCATTTAGTTGCTTAAAACAATTACAGAATGATGGTGCTGGGGGAAAAAAGTTTATCAACAAAATCTAAATCTCCACTTCTTGAATACAGCATGTTTCCTGTGAGAAAGCTTGGTAAGTAAAAACACAACAAAAAACAGGGTTAACCTTTCTTGACTCTCCATCCTCCTCAATGCCCTGATTCTCTTGTCCATCTGCAGTCACAGGGCCACTGCTCTTCTCCTTCTTGTGTTTCTTGTGCTTCTTGTGTTTCTTCTCTTTCTTATGTTTCTTTTCCTTCTTCTTCTTCTTTTTCTTCCCACTTGCATCAACATCCGAGTTCTGTGTAAAAACAGGTCAACATAAGAACTCAGTTGAAATGACGCATAACACCACAGGAACAATGATGGACACATTGTGTTTATGAAACATTTTCTTTTTCAGTAAATGTTTAACAGGCCTCTTTTGTTTATGTAGTTCAGAATATATTGAACGTGATGTTGGAAGACAAGAAAACATTGGGTAATATGGTTATACTATGACCATTCTGGCTTGCTACATAAACAAATGTATATTATTTAAACTGCTACATGACATATTAGAAAAGTTCTATATCATTAAAATGGGGAACTTTGATATCACTTGTAGTCTTCTCAAGTTTACATAGACTCTAATAATTATGACCCTGCTTGTATGCAGTCAATTCAAAATAATCACACTTGTCAATAAGCTGCTGAAATCAAACCTTGCTTGGGGATTGACTGCCTGATCCACTGCTGGGCTTTTTGGCAGGTGGCGGAGAACCACTGGCTGAGTGAGATGGTGAAGGGGAGGCAGATGCTGGGACTGGACGTTTCTGAGCTGCTGGTTGAGGGGAAACAGACCTAGATCTAGAGGATGCTCTTCTCATAGGCTGTGGACTCGGAGATGGCCTGCGGATGACACAAAGGTGACATTAAGTAGGCGGAGATGACACATGTATGAAACTTTTTTTATTCTGACTAAATCATAATTGAGACGAGGATAGCTGCTTTGATTACCTCTGGTTGTTGTGTGGCTCTGGAGTGCGTGACACTCTGCGGATGGGTTTACCACTATGTGAAGGGGACTGCTGTCTCCGCTGGTTTGATGGAGATGTACTGGACGTTTCATAACGTCCCTTTGGACTGGGTGAACCCCTGACAGTGCGACTGCGGTTGGCAGGAGATGGGGAGAGGCGACCGGCTGCTGCAATGGGGGATCGTGTGTCCCTGCTTGGCCTGACAGATTGCAACATTGGGCTTCTCCTGTGTCTGGGTGGAGATGAGGACAATGGAGGTGTCCGTCTTCTTTGAGCAGGAGAACTTCTGCGCTTAGGGGACCTGGAGAACCGTCGCTTGGCCCCTGGAGACGAGCGCTTTGGTGGAGAAATAGACAACCTCCTTTTCAGGGCAGGCACAGGTGAGGGGCTGTAGCGACGCTGAATAGGAGGAGAATAGCGTCTGGGGGATGGAGAACGACGGCGAGGAGGTGGGGAAGGAGACCTGAGGAGCACCAAATTCAAATTTCACACCTCTGAATTTTCAATTACTAATATTAATGACGGACGATTGAATATTCCCATACCTTCGTCTGGGAGGAGAAGGAGATCTGCGACGACGGGGGGGAGAGGGGGAGCGACGTCTGCGTCCAGGGGGTGATGGAGAACGTCTTTTCCTAAAAGAGTAAAAATCCAAAACATTTAACAAAGGAACACTGCCAACAACTTGTATTTTTGTCTATCAAGACAAAACATACAGCGAAAAAAAACCACTGTTTTAAGTGTTTGACCTTGGAGAGGTATCTCTGTGTCGCCTCCGTGGGGATGGCGTACGGCTGCGTCTTCTTCTGACTTCACCATTTCTGGCACCTGGCCCTGCTGTTTGCCTCTTGGGCCCCTCATCATCCGACGACGAAGACCCTGTATCTGAAACGAAACGGACAGAGAACATCAACCACTGTTTTACTCTCGCCTAACTGTCAGGGATGAGGAAAGCACACCAAAGTTAGGGCTGGGGCAAAGCTTCAAAAGTTCATGACACAGTGAGGTCAAGAGGAGATTGACAGAGACGTTGTTAAAGAGTATGGGGGAGAACATGAGGGGATATAAATGCTTATAACCTGAAGAAGACTGACGATTCTGCCTGCGATATTGACGTCGCTGCTGCACGGAATCTGCTGTTGTCCCTTTCTCATTTTTATCCTCCTCTGAAATGTAGAGCATTAAGTGTCTCATCATTGTTTGTAATGCCAGTAAATCAGACTGCCATGAAAAAGTGAGATTTACAGAGAAAATGTATATTTTTATGACTGCTGCTAGAGAACGTCAACACAGCACAGTGCATATGATCTATATGTTTTTACAATGGTGTAAAATGTTAGTTTAAACTGTGTTTCGTCATGTGAGGATAATAAACCAAAATGTAAAGTAGTTTTCAATATGAGAGAACTCAAACAAGGTCTTTGGACATGAATTTACACATTTGGCTTCGCAAACTAGGCATTTTTGTTGCCTTAAATGTTGAGTGACGAAACATCTGTGTCAATTTCTGAAGATTGGAAGTGTTTGGGATCTGGACCATTCATCCCAATTTGTAAGCTGGAGTCCATTATGGTTCTTTGAATAGAATTAATATATTGCTTACCTGACTCAGACCCCTCAGAAGGTCTGGGCTTGGCATTATCAGATGGCGAATCAGCTCTGCCTCCTTGTTTACGCTTGAAACCTGAAAAAAAAAAACAAGGAGCCAAGACTTTTAGATGCACTTCAAATCAATTTAATCATCAATTATAGCTCTTTAAATAAGAGATCAGTCCTCAACTAATGCACAGTAACTACTTGGTTTTCTGTAACCTAACTAACAAGGGAATTTACGCATAAAAAGACTGTCATTTATGGGGCGCTGGTGTCACAGTGGGTATTGCGCACGTCCCATGTATGGAGGCTATAGTCCTTCAAGCGGGCGGACCGGGTTCGGGTCCGACCTGTGGCTTCTTTCCTGCATGTCGTTACCCACTCTCACTCTCTCTCTTTGATTTCCAGCTCTATCCACTGTCCTATCTCTCCAATAAAAGGCACAAAAAGCCCAAAAATAAATCAAAAAAAAAAAGATTGTAATTTAGCAATTTAAATTTCTAAGAACTAACAAGCTTAAGGTGTCATGTGGCTCTGAGTACACAGTTAGACAAAAAAAAATGTGAAAGGACAATGAACATAACATATAGCTCATACCAGAAGATCTGGCAGGTGATGCAGAGCCTCTGCCTCTTCTGGCCCGTGGAGATTGAGACCGTCTGTCCTTCCCTGCAGGGCTATTGGAGGTGTCAGGATGAAGGACCTGTTTTCGGGGTGGTGTGTTGGATATCCTTTTCATTGCTTTTTTTGGTGAGCGAGAGCCAGAGGAGCTGCTGCCAGAGGATGAAGCAGAGCGAGAGCGCCTCCTGTAGGAAACAAACAACATGATTTTGAGAGTATTTACAAAGTATAACTATTTACAAAGTATAACTGGCCACACAATCGTCTGATTCTCAGTAAAATAAGGTAAATAGTATGAAAAGAAGAAACGAAGGAACAATATTTAAATATTATTTCTTTAACCAGTGGGTTACAGTCACTGACCGGCGGACAGGGGAGCGTCTATGGCGGTGTCTGGGGCCAGGGGGACCACGTCTAGGGGGACTCCTTCGGCGAGGAGACATTCTCCTCCTTGGACTCGGTCTTCTACGAGGGGAGTATGATCTGAAACGGCAAAAAGAGAAAGAGAACATAGTAATCTCATTTATTATTTCAAAATAGTTCTAAATTCTCCAAATATCTGACTTCTGAAGAACTAGAAGAGTTTAACTATCTGTACATTGAGAATTACCTAGAACGTGAGCGCCGCCGGCGAGAGCGGGAATGAGAACGAGAACGGTGGTGAGGTCTTTCCCTCCTACTGTCTTTTTCTTTTTCCCGGGACCTGGGCCTTTCTTCTTTCTTGTGAACCTTCTCCGGTGAGGGTTCTTTGACATCAGTCACAGAGTCTGCTTTCACCACCTCCACAACATTGTCACTGCAGACCAGAAAAAAATTTAATAAGTAAGTTTATAATTTTTCATCCATTCAAGCCTATCCAACCTAATCCAAATTCAGATTAAAAACCTAGGATATATATTAGTTTGGATGCAGCCCACTTTCCACCAGTCATGACTGCTACACAAAATGATGCAATTTCAAAGAAGACAAAAGAACGCTTACATGCACTATAATACAAACTGTATTATGGGTTATTATAATACCATACAATTTGAATTAATAAAACACCACTAAGAAATTGGTGGAGTAAGATATTCAAATTAAAAAGAAATATAACCTATAAAAACCTATTGAATTCAATAAAAAATATAAGACTTAGAATATAGCCTTTCACTAACCAAGTGGAAGAAGTTTCTTGGATTACTGGTTCTGGCATAGCTCTTGGTTCTGATGTTTCTGGCTCCACAAGCTGCTCCAAAGGTTTCGTGGGCAGTTGCATCAAGGGCGGAGGGGGTGAACCGCCACCAACTGGGCTGGGTTTACGTCTTGGGGAGCGGGATGCACTGCGTTTCCTTTCTCGCTTCACTGGTGACCTTCGCCGTGGTGACGGTGATCTTGTCTTCCGCCTTGACAGAGATGAAGTAAAGAGAGAATTACTTTTCATGTTCTGTGATAAATACCATCCAACTTCTGTCCACCGATGTCGAGACAATGTCCTTACCTCCTCGGGCTCTTAGACTGAGCCCTCTCTCGGATTTCCTTCTTATCCTCATCAACCTTCTTCAGAGAAGCAAGCTTCTCCTGCTCAATCTTCCAAAAATAAAATAATGGGGGGACAAAGAGATAGTTGTTATAATACTTGTCTCTGTGAAAGCTAACAGAAAAGGTTATTGACTTCTAAAATAAAAGCATTTTACATACAGGTGGTTGAGAGCTCTATTTTACCATGACATTGTCAACTTTATACACTAGTCTTAAACTGCCCGTACTACTAATATTCCTCACTCACAGTCACTTAAACCTCAAATTCATGACCTTCTGATAGCTAACAAAGGTATTTTGCAAAGTTATACCTTTGTGAAAGCTCACCTGTCTCTGTTTAATTTCCTCTTTCTTCTGTTCCAAGAAAGCAGAGGGGATACCAGCAATATTCTCCTGGGCACTCAGCAACAGGGGCCACAGGTCCTTCATGAACTCCCGGGCATTCCTCCCATTCAGGAAACCTGTCAGGTTGATCTGCATCATCTTGCTATCTGGGTGCTGTAACACACACACGAAGGAGGGAGAGAAAAGACCATATGGACATTGAAATAATGGATGGTAAAATATCAGGGGGAGGTAGGATCCCACAATTGGGCCTACCTACCTTCTAGTTCTCACTAACTTTACCTGTGACTATATAGTTAATCACATTAAAAACATGTAAAACTGACTAGGATATTTAAGCATACCTGGGTCCATTAACCTATCAAAATAAAAATGTGATTGATATACTCACAAACTCATGAAACTGAGAATGCGAGCTAACTGAGGGGAGACTTTTCTAGTGGAATACAACTGCATGCAATACTGCCCTTACACCCAATTCTGATTTATTCCTCAGATATAAACTCTATCAAAACAAACTCAAATAACACAAAAATATATCATGTCATATATTCTGTCAATTGCATTACCCACTAGTGTACATATCTATGTCCCTACCCACCCCTCTTTCTTTAGTCTCCCAACAGTCTACACAATCAGGAGTTAAACAAATAGCCACAATACAGAGTGCTTAAAACCCAACACTGCAAGTACAGTTCCGGTGTCTTCAGTGAGTCCCGTGGGATCAGTGGGCACGGAGCTCCCTTGGCTTGCTTCCGCCTCCCTACTGCTTGAGACTCAACCACCTTGAGCTTAATGTTATATCATTTATCTAAATTGCAAGAGACGAACAAGCAATAATGAGTACACAGTTACACAAAAATTGAGTTTATTTTAAACAAATGTTATTGTGAGATACCCTAATCTCAATTAAATTACCCTCTGATACTATAATGCAACAGTTCCCTTTTAACTTAGCTTTAACAACCCACCCTATCCCAAAAAGCTATGGCAAGTAAATAATAAAATGAAAAGCTAAAAAAAAACAAAAAAAAAACTAGACTGATACTTTTATGTTGCAGTGCTTGTATGAAATATATCACTTTAAACATACAGGGTTTGGAGTATCCTAAGTGAGTTAAGGACAATGATGAAACTTATAGCCATACATACCAACACATGTTTGGAAGTAAACTATGGGATGGATCCTCTTAATAGTCTAATGCAGGGTACTCTGTAAATTATATAGGTTGCACCCCCCCATGTCACAAGTAGTTTTTTAAGAAAAGTCATATATATATAAATAAAGGTAGATAGCCTACAGGGAAAAAAAACAAGTAAAATCTACTTTATACAACAATAATAACTACGTAACATCAGTAGGGCTTGGCACTACAGCGGTGATGGCAGAAAGGATGTTATGGTCAAAAACATGACCAATGTGAAAATTTTAACAAATTGACAGTTTTTAAGAGTAACTTACGTTAAACTATAAGAACACAAGCCACACATCTGACCCCAACTGACAGAGGCGGACAGAGATTCAAAGTAACTGTTAAGAAAAATTTGGGATCTGGTCCAAATCTTGGTTGTTGTTTTTTTTTGTTGCTGTCCTGCAGGGGTTGAGGTTCTCTACTTGCTAGAGTGATGTACAGTAACAACTGGGGGTGAGTTCAAGACCCCCTCACATCACTGTTATGTATGGTTAAAAGTGCAATGGAAAACACTTCTGACCACAACATACAGAGGTCAAAATACTGGTCAGCTTGATGTTAAGTTTATCTAAAGCTAATCTTTAAATGACGTATAGAAGGTTTACGATATTCAAAAAAGGCTGCAGCACATTACTGAACGTTCCCGTTTTAAACTATTGTTGCAGTTCGATTAAAAGGCTCTCGGCAGATAAATGATGCAATGTAAATACGTACGGAGAACATAATCATGGCATTGTTTAGGTGTTTCTTTCACTGACATTATATTGGTAATCCCTGCATATAACTCACCTCAAACCACACACTGCATCATGAAGGGAGAGTTGGGCTCAGTGACTTTGGGCTCAGGAGAGAGCTAATTAGGTGTTGGTGCTATACTTCTGATGCAAGGTATAACATCCATATTGGTTCAGGCCTTTTAAATCATAAATCACATCATCATTAGAAGACTGCTGAATAAAGGCACTTTTTCACATAACAGCAAAACATGGTTATGCACAAATCAGTTTTCTACCTATTGTTACTTTAACCCATTCCATTTCAATTTGACTAGGATGTGCAATTATTTGCTGAGGTTCATCCTCACTAACAAATGCCCTCAAATTTATGATAGCTTTGAAAAAAAAAAAAAAACACTCATTAAAGACATTACCTTCTCCTCAAGCTGGTTAAATATGAACTCTATGACGACATCATCCTCAAATCCCAGAATCTCGGTCACTCGTTGAGTAATCCAAGGTTTGATGACTTCTAGGTTCACTTTGGTCATGTCCACCTAAAAGAAAACACAAGCAAATCAAGGACCCCCAATTAAAAAAGAAAAAAGAACATTATGTTGACCACATTGTTTACATGGGAGAATTTAGTTACAAGTGTTTAAGCAGAAGTTTTTTGTTTTTGTATGAGGATGATCAAATTACCTTCTTGTCCAGACATTCTGCAAATTTCAGCTGCTTCAACAGTTTCTTCTGCTTGTTGCTGAAACGATTGTCTTGCTCCGCACTTGTGCCCTGAAGAAACATCATCACATTCATGTTAAAAAATATAATAAATTATATTAGAATTAAACTCAGTTAGTAACATTTTGCAAAACTTTGAATTAAAGTTTACTTAATTAAACTCTACCTCTCTCGTAAACATGTGACGTGTATTTAAAAAGATAGTACACATGTGACTACAGCACCGTGAGATATTTACACTGTCAACCTGAACCCGGATGAGCTAGCATTAGTGTAGCTAACAGCCTGGTTAATCCTCCAAGGGAACCCGGAAGGCTGTTACCCACAGCATCCACACTGGTCGGTTAAAGTGCTGACATGACCATACTAACGAAACGGATTTCATTATGGAAGCTAAACACACTTTTGGTCTACTTGTGGTAGGTTGCGTTCGCGTGGTCGTGACACAGACACAGAAACGACGCACCGACCTGGACGCCATCTTTACTGAAGGCTAATAAATTAGCAGAAGCATGCTAGCAGGATCGGCTTGTCTAATTCCTGGAAATGTTTCTATCTACTAGTGAATACAGAAACAGCAACAGTGCGCGTCGAAGAATCATAACAGAAGGCTATGCTGTAAAACAAATCTAATTACTTTGCAAAACCACGTCGTCTCTAGTCGTGTGCAAGTTTAAACACGGCTAATGTCGGAAACCAAGATGTTATTTATCAGCTCATAGACGGAGCCCTAACCGTGCCGTGTCTGGCCCTCCAACTAAATCCATATTGCAAATTAAAGTTCTTACTGCACACAAAAAGTTTCTATCCGACTTGACAGCAAGTTAATAAAGCTTGTAGATAAAATAAAATAACTTACGCGGAAGAATCCCGCGTCCATTATTGGAGATAATGGATATTAACAGGCGCTGTGAGAAGGACGTGCGTCTCCGGTGAAATCTCAGAAGCTCGTCGGGTGAAACGAGCGCCTCTACAGGACGACACCGGCATTACACCCACTGTGTTAGTGAAGCGCAACACCTGACGTGTGTTATACATCAAGTAAACCAGTAACTTCATGTCATGAAATTAAATCAACATCACCAGAATACATGGAAAATCAAGACTTTTTTAACACATGAACATTTTTATTATTCAAAGTCTGATTCAAAGTACACAGCATTTTTAAAATAGGCTAAATGTTGTTTTTTTTAGAAGTAAGTAATCCACAGTAGCCTAATAAATATTTTTTTTGTTATTCATACTCCTTCATAACCCAAATCACACTGCTGAAAAAATAATAATAAAAGCTACCTTTTAGATGCCACAGCAAGGGTAGTGGGGATGTATAAAGTGTGTATTTTCATTATAGAGACTATTATTACTCAAGGCTGCTTTTTAAAACAGCCAAATTACATATAGGCTAATAGGTGATTACAGTCCAGAGTAGAAAGACCAGGTTATTCAAGGTGATCCAGAAAGTAAAGCCTATCCAATATTTGTTACTGTAAATGTACAACGGCTCCATATTGTGATGCACATGTTCACAAACAGTGTAACAGAGAATTGTGTCATTGGATGTGATTAACGAGACAGTTCTTAAAACTTAAAGAAAACAAGTACTTTTCTCTTTCATCTGAGGCAACATTGCCATGTGTAAAGTGATGCCTTGACTATAATAACAATTAAAAACAACAAGGATGAAGAGAAGCTCTGACTTTGACAGTATATGATCCCCTGAAAAATACTGAAATGTCTGTTTGAGCTAATACATATTGTGTCATATTTTACACTGTATATCTGAGGTTCTGACTCATGACTCAGAAACCATACTTCACAAACAGTCCCTGGCTCATATTTGTCATATACCAGAGTAACAGATGCTACAGGTTGACAACTTGTGAAAGTGAAGTGGAAAGTAGTATCTTGTTGGGAAAAAAAAGACTGAAGAGAAGTCAGGAATAGGGAATTAATCAAAACAGGTTTTGCTAGCTGACTGGCAAACCCTCATTGGTCCTCTTTTCTCGAATGGAGCGCAGCATGTCTGACACCAGCTCCTCAAGCCCAAAGACTGGTGCCCAGCCCCAATCTCTCCTGGCATTAGAGTCATCAAACCTCACAGGCCAGCTGTCTGCTGCAAAGTGACAAGCAAGATGACCACATTACTTCCATCACATCATTTTAATTAAAGACAGCTATGTCAGAATGAATGTATAACTCAATGTGTCAGGTACATCTGAGAAAAAAAACACAAGTAACTTCACAACCTGACAGATAAAGCTTTAAATGCCACCTATTGATATGTAAACTCTGCTATGACATGAATAAAACATGAACAAATTAAAAGCAAATATTTCTTAGATGTAAGAAAACAGATTTATTTTGAAATAAGGTGCTATAATTTGTAAATGCTAGAATACAATGTCAAATGCATAATAAAGTCAATTTGATTCACAATAATGGTTAGACGAATGGTTATTAACCTCAATTAGTTGTGTTTTTATAGGTCTATAGAGCATGCTCTTTTGGGCTTGTCAGTTGTACACCAATTTGGCAAACTACCATATTCAACACTAAAAGAGGTATCATCCTACATTCATAAATGTTGCACATGTACAGGTATGTGTACTTGTGTACATGTTTCAAGTCGTACCAATGGTCTGGCGGACAGAGTCAGGATTGTAGGTGACCTTGAGGTAAGGCAGATGCTTGCGGATTTCTTGGGCCACCTCTTCCGGAGTGAAGCTCATAGCGGCGATGTTGTAGGTCCTCAGTGAAAGTTGGCACTCTGGAGCCTGCATGAACTCTACTGTCGCACGGTGGCAGTCAGAGATATGCATCATGGGAAGACGGGTGTCAGGGCGCAGGTAACACTCATGGTGACCTGTGCTGAGAGCATCATGGAAGATTTGCACTGCATAGTCTGTGAAGAGAGATAGCATGTATTGTATTGTAGGTAGCTGTAACAAACCATTGTAGTCGTGAATATTTGGGAGATATGCAGATTGACATTGAGTGATGTAATACCTGTAGTTCCCCCTCCAGGCGGTGTGTTGACTGATATAACACCTGGGTAACGTAGGCAGCGAAAGTCCAGACCATATTTGTGATGAAGATACTAGAAAAAAATGCAACAAATGTTGAGATGTAGTCATGTTTTACAAGGTGTATGGGTTTGTGTCAGCATTTTAAGATAACATCAAGATTAACCAACCTCCCCCATCAGTTCTCCATGCACTTTTGACACACCATAGATGGTTCGAGGTCTTTGGACACAGAGGTCAGGGGCTGGATCACGTGGAGAAGAGGGACCAAATGCTCCAATGGTGCTGGGGACAAAGAGGCGTAGGCAGTTCTCTAAGGCCAAGTCAAGCACATTATGGAGGCCTATAGGTGGACAGAAAATGATCCAAAAAGGAAATTTAAAAAAGGGTCAATCCCTATGATAGGTAATACATTTAAATGGTGTTTGTATCCAGCAGACCTGTGATGTTTATCTTGCGTGCCAAAGCCACATTAGCCTCTCCAACAGCGCTGAGCAGAGCGCTGTAGTGGACCAGCCAAGTCACACGATTGTTTACGATCAGTTCTCGAAGATGTTTGTAGTCCAACACGTCAGCGTAAACAAATGGACCTAATGGGAGAAAAGATAAAAGAGGGAAATAAAAAATAATAACAAATGATTTAAAATGGACGTAACAAAATGTGAGTAAATAGCAGCTTAAGAAAAGAGGTTTTGCATACCACTGCTGACAACATGAGGTGGAGGCTTCTTAATGTCCGACAGGATAACATTATCTGTTCCGTACTGTTTCCTAGACATTAATATAGACATGTTATTAAGTTTCTGATACTTCGACAACATTAAACGTCTTTAAAGTTTTGTATAACCCACCTCAGTATCTGTGCGAGTCCTACACCTAACTGTCCCAGACCACCTGCATACAGAGACAAAGTTTCATATTTAGGCTGGTACATGTTTACTTACTAAACAAGATGATGTTTCAAGTTTACTATAAAAAATGAAATTTAAGTTTTTGGTCTTTGAGGTTTTTTTTGTTTGTTCCAAAGCTTAGTCATGGGACTAAAAGTGACTGCAGGCTATTATTCTCCCTGCATCACCCATTTGCTCTTTAAAATCACCAGCACTGTCTGTGCGTGCTCTATTGTGATGAGGCTAAATGGGGTCCTGCTACTGGCGCAGACTGAAAACAAGTAAAACAGAAAAAAACACAGCACATATGGCTACAAATCCTCCATTTTTGTTGATGAAACTCTATAGCTCCTTGCTAAACCACTATTTAATTAAATATAAACATAACATCTGCCTGTAAGGGTGGGAGTAACTCGCACAGCTCCCTTTAACGGTTTTCTATAGGAGGCACTCAACCCCTATTGTAACAGCTCTGCAGTCAACAGTACATAACAGTTAGATTTGAAAGCGGTAGAAAACAATGGTAGCTTGACTAGACTAGTACAGCTCTTGGTTCAGTGAATTTATCCTAACTTTATCCTTAATGGATGAATGTCATGAGGAAGCAGCTATGACATGAGAACTGTGTATTACCTGTGATGAGGACACGGGGGTGTTCCTGAGGAGTGGGGGATGTGCAGGTCTCTTGATTGTTCCACCTGCTCATCTGCCTGGGCAAACAGCTGAAGCTGCGACCTGGCAAACCTCGCACCCTGCTCAGACAACCTCGGCAAAACATGCCCAGCACAGCCATAGTGGGCACACAGACCCGCACACCTGGTTGCATGTCCAGTAGCAGTTCTTTGAAAAGTTAAAACAAATTGAACTAGAAAGAACTGGTTACCCAGAACTTCAATATACTGATAACCTTCATGGCTTTTGTTCAAAGAATACATTTATTTAAATTAAATTACAGGAGGATACAGACAATATTTTTTACCTGTGTGAAAATCCAAAATACCAACAGATGAGTCTCGGTCCAAAACCAGCCGTGCAACTTAGTAAATCCCGAACTATTGCTCTAAACAAAATGACCAACTCTGACTATGAGGTCAGTTTAGTAAACACATTAACTACTGGTTAAATAAGCAGGTGAAGAAAGTCATGCTGGGTTGTGTGGTCCTTGTCCACTTTGTATAATCACCAGCTTGTGGCTCTTGACTAAAACAGACTACAGTCTCCAGCTTGCAAAGCTCCATGTGTGCAAACATGCTGACTTGCTGTGCACAGGGATTTGTATTGTGAAGAGTGTTTAGCTGAGCTTAACAGGACTGGGAGGTGTGTCACATATACAGCTTTCCTCTTTTGATATTTATGAGTGAATATATGACAGAATAAATAACCCAAAGAGGATGATGCAACATTTTGAGAACCTTTTCAGCATTTTTAAAGCACCCAAATATGGTTTGAAAATGCGGCCTCAAAAGACATTTTGAAAGAGTAAAAAAAACCATAATAAATATTTAAATGTGATTGGTTGTAAAAGGAAAAAAAAGCCACAGTAAAAGGCATTGCATATTGGTTACTTTTCTCTTTAAAACATGCTCCACATGTTCAGGCTGAGACTCTTCAATTGTTCAGAATTGTCTGAATGTTCATCAGCTAAGTGCCAGCTTTCCCCACTCAATGACCATGTTTCGTATTTCCTCCTGAGCCTCTTCAAGGTGACGACTCTGCTGGGTCCACCTCAGGAAAAAACCTGAGAATCAGAAATGAGCATAAGTCAGTTTTAACACTTAAAGTCCACGAATGAGTATAAATAGCAAGGCTGTAGGCTTATATCACAAAGTAATTTTTATTTTATTTTATTTTAAAGTAATTTAACCGGGAGAATCTCATTCAATTAGATTAAGAATCTAATTTGTAATTTATAATTTGCAATTTATTTCAAGGATAGCCCCTTGAGATGCATCATCTCATTTTCAAGGGGGTCCTTACAAAACATAAATTAATCATCATAATACAAAATCAAAATAAAAGGTAAATCCAAAACATAATACCAAACATTTAAACACAGAGACACCCACACCACAAACAAACACACACTCACATTCACTCACACTTAATGCTCCCCCAAGCCTAGCCACCCACCAACCAGCCAGTATTACACAATCAGAAAAATTCTCAAGAGAAAAAAATAATAAGAATAATAATAAGAAGAAAAAAAGAAGGAAAACCTCTGCATAAATATATGCATACACACTATACAGTACTTACACACATAGTGTACGCAACATTAAGGCACAAGGTACAGAACAGTACATACATGTAGATGTGAGGTACATGAGTGCAAGCAAGAGGAGAACAGGTCCACACAAACTAAGTTCAACAGAGAAAGAAAATCAAAAGCAAGAGCAGGATGTTTGACAATGAGTAAGTAGAGATGATTTAAAGATGTGATAGATCTAAGTGAGCGAGGTAGGTTATTCCATTCTTTAAATTTAAATGCACTGCGACCAATTTCTTTCCTGATTCTTGGTGTGAGGAAAAATAGATGATCAGTATGCCTTAGACTATACTGTGAACTGAAAGGGATTAGAAATTGTTTCAAGTACGGAGGAAAATTAAAATAGATACATTTAAAAGTAAATAGTGACCAATGAAATGTCCTTCTGGACTTGGGACCCAGCCAATTCAAGGACTCATACATTAGGCAGTGATGGGTCCTATATGGACACCTCAGAACAAATCTACAGAGACTGTTGTGTAAGATACTGAGAGGTCGAAGATTTGTCTCTGAGGTGTTCCCATAGATAACATCAGCATAATCAAGGATTGGCAGCACCAATTGTGTCACGATTCTTCTCCGGACTTGCAGTGAAAAACATTCAACAGAACGATAAAGTGATTTTAGACGACCATATATTTTCTTAGAAATTGAGTTGATATGAGGTTTGAAAGATAACTGGGAATCTAGCCAAAGGCCCAAATATTTAAATTCATCTACTTTTTCTAATGCTGTTCCATCCAGGAAATTAATATGCCACTTTTTTGTTAAGGGCAAAGAATCTGGTCGAGTGCAGAACAACATAAAATATGATTTTTTCTTATTCAGAAGAAGCTTATTGACAGAGAACCATTTTTGGACTAGATTAAAATCAGATTGTATTGAATATTGAATTTGTGAAATGTCCGAACTGGAGGAGTATATTACAGTGTCATCTGCATATAAATGAATTTGACAGTCAGAACAGACTTGTGAGAGGTCATTGATGAAGATGGAGAATAATAGAGGACCTAAAGATGAACCTTGTGGCACACCTTTATCAATAATCTTGAAGTCTGACTGGCTGCCCTGAAAAAAAACACATTGACTTCCATAATGAAGAAAAGAGTTGAAAAACAACAAAGAGTCAGTAGAGAGACCAATAGCATGTAGTTTATATAAAAGGAGATAGTGATCAACAATGGGAAATGGGAAAGATTTGAGGCCACAATGATATTCCCCTACCACCTTTTTACAACTAAAATCAAAGTTGATTCTTGACTCTAAGTGGATGATTGTGTCAAATGTTAATAACATTGGGCTTCATTCACAAACGGTTCTTAAGAAGGAAATTATTTTTAAACGCCATTTTCATGCAATGTTTAATCTGCAAAATGTTGATTCTGAATATAAACTCAGCAGATAGGTAAGAATGTTTCAAACGTATGCTGAAAATAGGCTGCACGGTGGAGCAGTGGTTGGTGCTGTTGCCTCACAGCATAAAGGTTTCAAGTTCTAATGCAATGTATGCCATGTCCATATTCTCCATGTGCATGCATGGGTTCCCTCCAGGTACTTGATCGATAGATTCATTGGTGACTGTAAATTGCCAGTGGGTGTGAGCGTGAAAGTTTGTCTGTCTGACTGCTGACCAGGATGGATGTTGAAAATAGAACACTTACTCCTGATGATAACAATAATCCACCTTTAAACACCAGTAAATTTACAAATCTGTCACATGTTGCATTGTTTTACAGTAGAAGCTTTAAGAATAAATATTAAGTCTAATCATAATGTGTCTCCATGATGATGAGATATGATCATCTTTCAGTCATGTATTTCTCTCAAATTTAAGATCAAACTATTTTATTTCACTTCGCCGGGTGTGTCCTTTTCTGATGTCTTTATTAACTGAACAATTGATATCATAATGTATGTGTCTGTGGTAGACTACTACTGACACTCCTAATATAACATAATAATTGTTTCTCACTTATATTAGCACTGTTTCCATATAAGAACTACCAAAGTTTCTCTCACATTTGCAGTTCAGTGTGAAATCGTAAGATCATAAGATATTAGTTTAGGAATTCCTGACTTCTCTCTTTTTCTTTTCATCAGTGTGAGTTCTGTGTGTTTTTAGTTTAGTTGTTTTTAGTTTTTCAGTTTATTTGAATCAGTGACAGTGTACAACAAAAACATTAGTCTCAGAAGAGAAGGGAGCTTATCCAGTGACTAGAGGTATCAGCTAATTATTTCTCAGATATGGGCCGATATTACAAGATTTATTTACCAGTCAAAGGCCATTTCATTTGAGTTTTATTGTATTACAGCAGTTCTCTTCCTGGCTGTCACCAGCAAAATGTGCTATTAGTTTTAAAGCAAGCGTTATCAATCAAAACATGTGCAGTTACTTTCCAGTTGAGTGACCATCTTGTCTTAATAATACTGCATATCTCTCCCACAGGGGTTTGATCGGCATTTAAGCAATCAACACAATAAATATGTATATCCAGATCTATCTATCTTTACAGATCGAACATAGATCTAAGAAAGATATCAATATCAATATCGGTATCCAGATTGGTGGCGCCATAATTTACATATGCTAATAAGGAAAAACAGGAGGTTATGGCTTCATAAACTCGAGAACACAGGTGCAACTAAGAGCACACTCACTAGGCAATCCGTACCGTGCCCAAGCATGCTTCACCCTAAAGTCCAGTTCCTTTGACCAGTGTGAGTGCTCTGTACCGTGCTCAAGGACGGTACACTTTCCTTGGCCCTGGCATACTTGAAAGAGGCATGCTTCAGAACGGTACAGTTCAATCGTGCAATCGTGCTTAAGCATGGTACTGGACAACTCTGCCAGTGTGAATTATCCTGTTCAATAAACAGGTTCATGATTCTGCATTAGATTTTCATTAGAAACATTATTCAGATTACACATTTGATTAAAATGTACATTTGGCCCATTCCTTTCAGGTGTTTGGTTTCTCAAGTAACTGAGTTGATATATAAACTAAGATATATGATAGGAATATGGGCAGAAAAACATTTTTTCCAGGACATTATGATGTCACAGTGAAGTAGAACTTTTACATTTTTTTGTAAAAAAGCAGCATTATTGAGCATCAATTTTAAAATATGTCCTCCAGGAAATCATTTGATATTGAGTTCTTATGAATAGGTATGACATGAGGTTAGTGACACTGACCTTTGTGTTTAGTTCATCCTTAAGAAAAAGTTGAGTTTTGTGCCAAATAAGAAGACATTTTAAGCGCAACAGAGTAACAGACAACTTCTGGCTGTCACTGGCAAAGTGCATAAAAAATATTTTAAAAAATCATAAAAATAATGAATATACACAACTCTGTATTCATGTTTAAAGTTACCTCTCCAAAGCTGCAGGGACTGAGGGTGAACTGAGGGCCAGATTGCTAGCTCAGTGGGTTCATAGAGCGGGTTAGAGTAGTAGTCTCTCTCCCTGGGCCTCAACAGAGCTTTGAACAAACAGTGAGTCCTTTCCATCACTCCTAGAGCCCACCTGAGAGAGAAGAACGAGGTGTAAGGTAACTATCTAGTCTCAAGAAGAAAAATATATACTTTATTAATCCCGTGAGCGGAAACTCAATCGTTCACTCTGTTGTTGAACATGATACATATACTTGTGCACAAACAGGATCCTATGGACATGCATTAATGGAGAGATGTCAGAGTCAGGGGTCTGCCCACAGCGAGCACTCCTGAGCTGGTGGGGGTTCAGTGCCTTGCTCAGGGGGACCTCTGCAGTGCTCAGGAAGTGAAACTGGCACCTCTCGAGCTACCAGACCAACTTCCGGATTGAGTTTGCACCTGGACTTGAACTGGTCACTCTCCGGTTCCCAACCCAGGTCCCTTCAGACTGAGCTACTGCCGCCCCTAAAACATCAATTCCCATTTCCGGGCCACACAGAGAAGTACCACTGACCTCTCCTGATGGCTGTTGCACAGGAAGGTGCCAAAGTCGGAAGCGTAGGCCTCAGTCGCCAGCCTTAGAAGCAGTGCCTCAGAGAAACCCAGTGCCAAGGGAAACTGACGCCAGAGTTGCCACACACAGTCCAGCAGCAGCAGGAAGACGGGGGACTCCTGCTGGAGACGGGCGTGTGAAAAGGCTGAGTGGGCACATCGCTGCATGAATGGGTGTCCTGCCTGGAGAGAAGAACACTGATTTACATAAACTGCCAAACCTGTCTAGTATCAATGTGTATTTGTGTCAAGCATATCCCTCCAGATCTGTTCAGCCCACTTATAGCTGTTTTTCTTTTTATTTATTTTTTGAGGGGGGGGAGGGGTTCTGATTGGTGTAGCACCCAGTCAAATACTCCAGTCCTGAGGATGCAGTTTGGGACTGAGCTTTCTAAAACTTGGCCAGCTTGATTGTCTGCAGGCAGGGTTTCACACAATTGCAATTGTACCTCTCAAGTTGTTATTGCCAATGCTGTTTCTAAAGATATATAAACTATATCAATTGTCTATCAGAATGTATATGCTGTTACCACGCTAAACAAAATCAAGGCACCAGCTCAGGTACCTTGGACTGGGCAAGCACAGTTCTTATAAGATCACAAACAAATTCCAACATTTTTTCCTTGTTAAACTTAACTAAACAAACATAAACTTCCATAATGTTATGTTTCTGTTGAAGGTAAACATATACAAGGATTATGGTTTAATAATGGACGATTAATGTTTAGCTGTGACTTGTTATGCCGTTTCCCTGAAATCTACATAAAGTTACAATGTACGTGTTAAAATAAATGTTTGGAAGGAGAAGCAGGTTTTGTAAAAATCCATGCCCACCCATGCATTAGACTGAATATGACTTTTTTTTTCTCTCGCAGCATTTCCTTTTCTTGAGGGGTAAACTGTGAAGCAATATCTGTGAAGCAAGATATTTGGTAATAACAGCATGAAGAATAGTGCTTGAAAGAGATCTTCCTTTGGATTTAAAATGTCATCTTTATTGAAATGTTATGCAAGTCTCAAACATTATTTCAGACACAGACTCAGTAAATCTAAAGCTATTCAATATTTTCATAGGTGCATTATAGGGTTTGAAAAACATAATTTAAAATATGTGGTTACCCTGTCCTAATGCTCCTGTGTCTCTATTTCAAGTCCTGTTCATATTTTTTTAAATGTACAGTTCAAATGATACATTATACATTTACATACATTTTAGATTATTAGACACACACATAAATACACTCACCTGTACCCACTCCCTCTCTAGCAGAGCCAGAAAGCCCTCCAGGGAGCGGCAGTGTGGATCCATGATAAGCTGAGCCAGAGTGCTGATGAGCAGAGTGGAGTCCTTCCCTTCAGAGCCATGTACTAGAACTGAGTGTCCGTCCCTGGCCAACACAAATAGACAGCAGTCCTTAACTTAAGTGCTGCTGACAGGTTTTAATTGTTGCATGTCTTTTTTTAAATTATATTTTGTCCTTGCATTTATGTCCAGCCATGCTATTTACATATGTGTCAAGTGTACAAGTGTCTCTTTAGACCTTCTTGATTAAATAATGATGATAATGTGGTTAAGGTATTCCAACTTTCTTGTGCTAAATTGAAGCTTCTTATGTGTTGTGTTAAACATAAATTATTGTTACACATTTGTTCACAAGATGTGTAAGGATCAATTTGATTCATTTTATTGGACCGACGCGTTTCATACCCTGATGAAGGCCACAAACCAAAACGCGTCAGCCTAATAAAGTCAATAAAATTGATCTTCATACGATAAGTGTTGCAGGAGCTTTTTGACCTCTTTCACTCTCCATTCATCTTGGTATAGTTGGTGTAGTTGCCAGAAAATCCTACTCTGCTTTGCATTTTATTTTACAAGTTAGAACTTCCTATTAATTACCCTACTGCCAAATTTCTTAGGGTAAAAAAAAAAAAAACAGATTCACAGAAGGGATCAAACTTTGCAGTTAGACAACAATAGGTGCGCACCATCAGTACCAATAGCACAGACGAACACCTGGTTGGAGTTCCTACCTCTCCACACACTCTGCCAGCAGGCCAGCAGTTGAAAGGGCGGTTTGGACGTAAAACAGCCACTTTGAATTCTCAAGCTTACTAAGCCAACGATCCATATTATTGGACTCGTCACCACAGGCCTCCACCAGCTTAATCAGACTCTCTTGCAGCGCTTTACCTCTGCAGACAACAAAAAAGTGAATGAAGTAAGTTTAAAGAGACAGAACAGCATCCACGACTCCTCAACCGTTTCTCACATACACACACTTTTCCATTTGTCTGTGCAGTCTCTTCCAGCAGCTGTAAGAGGATTTGGACTCAAACCCTCCACCTGTCATCCGTGCCTGCGTCGCCTGCTGACTGGAGCGTGTGTCAATAATATAACCTTTGTCTGAGCCATCAAGCACAGCCTGGAGGAGGTCCTCGTCTTCTTTGCAGCGCTTCCTATTGGCTCCTGGCAGCGGCTGACTGCTGCGCATGATTACCTGCAAAGGTTTTGTTTGAATGTAATCGTTACGTTTTTTTGTATGAATTGTAGGATTTTGGTCAGGGTACATAAATGAGACGCTCACCATGCCATTCTTCCTGTGATAGTAGCAGAGGACAGGGAAGCGTCCCCCCTGTCTGAACTTGGCAACCTTTTTAAGCATGCTATCGTCTATGTTCTTTGGGACGATGACAGCTGGAGGGTAAGAGGGACACACTGAGTAGTCTCTGTTCACAGTGCTCACTCGCCATCGATCATGCTGCAAACAGAGGAGAGAGAGGATCAGGAAGAGAAGTCACAGTTACACATAACCAATGAATGGTGACGGAAAAAGTACACTTTCATGTATTTGTAACCCTTTATAATCTTTGTACACTACCAACTGAAGTTTCACGCTAACCACCCTGTTTTGTGGCTTTATGTCAAAAGATACAAAAGCTCTGCTGTTGAATTAGTTCACCTTCCTCCTATATACATGTAGCACTTGCTTCCTGCTGAATCACAAAATCTGAACTCAGAGGGCAGAGCGACTTTGTTTTTCCACTCTTGATTTACATGACACAAGTGTGACATAAGACTACAAGAGGCCAAAACTAACACAAAAAGTACATTTTCACCCCAAAATGGCAAATTTCTACCTGAGGGCAAAATCATCAGACCATTTCACACCATTTGACTCTTTTATTATCTTTGAAATTTAAAAAAACATGAAAATGGCGACTCAAAAACTATCAAAAAATCAATCCTTCTTCAATAAGACATTACTGCTGATCAACCCAAAGCTTTTTTGAGTTTATTTTTCAGAGCGTAGATTGATTGTTACATCAACATTTTACAAGTGTTCTATTTAGCCTGTTTAAGAAGATTGGATTTGTAACGCTAAAGCTGAATACAAAATATGTTGAATGCAATGTAGTGTATTTGAACAACATATTTCTCCTCTTTGATTAAAAAGGTGCACTGTTAACACATTAAGGCAAATAGTTAGATGAACAGGTCTGACAGAGGAATCTTTTTTTTTAAATCTAGCCCTACATTTGTATTGAATAGGTCTGTAATAAAAATTAAAAAAAAACAGAAGTGAGCATTAGAGGAGCTGGTAGGCTATTTTTCAGAACAATGAATTACCACAATTTAAAATTTGACATGAGACATATAGGCTCCAAACAAGTTCTTCAGAGTGAAGAACAGACATGTAACTACGACTGCAGACATGTACATGTTCTTGGAACATCATGCCTGTAAAAACACACACAACAATGTTGCCCTCAGGGTCGGCCCCTCACCATAGTGACACACTATTTCCCAGAGGAAGGTTCATGTCTATTAGGCACGTATTCAAGCTGTGTGCAGCACATTCTGGAGTTCCGCGAAAACAAATACAAGCAAAGCAACAGGGATATCCTGCCTCCTGACCCATCCTCAGTTTCCTGGTTGGATTGTTGTTATAAAAAACTGTCTGTATTTGTGTGATCATATTATGTTTTTCATTCCTCCACAAGAGAAAGAGACATACGGAAACATTTATGTTTTGCTTACGAGCTCCTTCATTTGACTGTAGAGCTTTTCAGTGGATGAGAGACCCCACTGGTCCTGCAGGCTGAGATCAGAGGGTCTGTGAAAGAAAGGATACATCTCCGAGGCACAGTCCAGACAGGACAGGGTCTAGAGAAAGAACACTTCATAAGATTTAAAGCCCACAAGAAAGGAATTGTGTATTTAAAGAGAGGACATAAAATGAGAACAAAATACTTATATCCATGTTTGCTATATGTTACAGGCTTAGAAGGTTTAGCATATTTTTTATTATACCTCAATAGAGTGTGCAATATTGAGACACTGCTCCATGCCTGGGATGTCAAGCTGGAGCACACGCAGATCTTTACACTTGATGGTTATTGTCCCTGAAGATCCAGACATCCTGGGGGGGGGAAATTAAGCAGAGCAATTGAAACAATATGACCCTGCCACCCCCAGCTAACCTGTTTTGAGTGTAGCAGTGCAGACAGTGTGACTTGCAGCTGTAAAGGAAGGCAAACCTAGTCAGCTGGGCTGTGTGGGTGGGGACATTTTGCAAAAGAGTTTTTGTTGACCAAAAAACACCATAATAATTGGTTTCAGCGATGCTTAGACTTGAAAAAAGAAGCTGTTAGGAGTTAGCAACACTCAACAGTGTGTGTAGAAGGTGACACGAACATTTGGTTGCTTAAGTCTAAGTGAGCACATTTTATATTTCCATTATCTGTGAGCAGCATGAAGCAGACACATGGCAACACAAAGTATGTCCAACCTTTCACTGTGGCCTGCATTAGAGAAGAGGCCGGAATAGGCCGAAAGGTTTTCCACGCTGGTTGAAAAGATTTGAGGAATAATGGAATTAGACAATCAGAAATAATAGCATTCACTGGAACAGTATACAGACCCCTTTGGTTTTGATAAATGGTGTTATTTGTTTTAACAAGACCGAGTTTTTAACAATAATCCTCACAGAAAACCTTTGTCCTATGAAGATCTTTCGCCCCATATTAAATGCTGTAATTAGTGGTTGTAAGCAATGAAAAGGGTTTCATTATGCAGAGTGATATTTAATTATGTGGAATGGTTATATGGCTGTCATAGCATATATCTTCAGTTTATGATGAAGATAGCCTATAGTTGGTCAATTATGTTCATTGTTGCAGATATGAATAGTCCTTCTCCCTCACCTTTTCTCAATAGCGTCGATGTTCTTGAGGAGCAGCAGAAACTGCCGGGTGCCCGTCTCCTCCCTGTCCGAGAAGAGCAGGTGGTGGCCTGTGATGCACAAGGTGCCTCTGCTCGGAGGGTGTAGCGGCTGTCGGAGGACAACATCCTCCACATTGGCTGTCTTGATGTGTTCAGAAAACTCCATCAGCTCCTCGTCACGAACCAAGTTCCTCTTCAATAGACGTGACCCTGCACTTGGGACGTGAAAACGCAACTTCAAATGTCTTCCTCGCCTCTCGTTAAGAAAAGCAGACTCCGTCCCCTGTTATCTCAGTTGGGTAGCAGCGCACTTGCGCTCTGTTTGTTTAACGATGAAGTTCTTATAAATAGATTCATTTTTTTTCTTCAGATCATAGCCAGACCCCAGTGGCGCTTAAACTTCACTCACACATGGACATGGCTGAACACAAACCGTTTTGCTTGAGATAATAGAAAGCGGAAGTGCACGTTTCCTGAGAAAAAGCAACTCTGAAATGTGTCACAAATTGCTGGTAAACTATGGGGAGGGGGGGTTTGGGGGGCAGCGGCTTTGGGCTTGTGGTAGAATGATCAATGAGCACTAGATGGCAGCACATTCAAACGTAAACCCTCTTTGAACGCACACCAGACGTGACAAGGTTTTATTTTGGCCCCACTCTGAAGTGGTAAAAGAAGTGCTGGAGTTATTTAAACAAAGACCTACAGCAATAAAGCAGTGCAAACCATAGTTTTATAATGAAGCAAGTATAGCCTCAAACATCAGTTTGTCAAAGTGGTGCATACTAGCCTATTGGTATTACTAGTGTACATAGCCTAAATGTAGGCCTATTGTAACATTAACTGTAAATTGTTCATTATTATTGTTCTTTATGCATCTTTAAGTAACTCGTGAGGAACACTCATGACAACAATACTTGTTTAAATGAATAAGGGACTGTAAAGGTTGTTGTGGAAGCAGAGAAACTCAAGCTTGTCTCCAAATTGCCAGAAACATTTATTTTTTTGAAGTGATTAAACAGAGTTAACTTTATGCTATTGTTTTTTTTATTATTATTATTATTATTATTAGAGAGACACCTGGAACGTGAAGATGTTGATTCCGGTTATTTAATAGCACACACTTAAATCCAGCGTTTCTTTTCCTATTCGGGATGGGCGGTCACTGCGTCTCCATATAAAGGAGGTGAAGACCTGTTGGGCTTTTAACCGCCCTGCTGCCAATCCAGAGAAGCGAAGTGAACGCGAAGTCCCAAGCACCGCCGTCATCACTGCGCCAATGGACTTCAAAGAGTTTGGAGGGGACTCCTCCGAGGGGGAGACTGAGGACCTGGACAGCCTAAAAGCACTTACAGAGAAGCTGAAGCTGCAGACCCGCAGACCATCCTATCTGGAGTGGCAGGAGCGGGTACAGAGTCGATCGTGGAAGGAGAGTGATTCCGCAGACAGTCCGGGATCCGAAGGAAAAGCTGTTTCTGTTCCTGCGACTTCGAGTAATGAGAATTCTCAAGTGGTTGTCCGCAACATTTGTGGCTTTGATACTATTGATGATGCTTTGGAGTTCCTAAGAAAGGAGCTGGTAAGTGATGTCACCTTTTTTCACAAAAACAAATATACTAAAAAAAAAGGGAATTTTAATGCACAAGCGTTACCTCTAAAAATAAAAAGGAACTCCAAAGTTTCCCATCCACATGTGTGATATATATAGATGCCAGTCTCCCTATGGTACAGGTGTAAGTTGTCAGCTTTCCATGAATATCTGACTTAACTTAGGACTTCACAGAGTTCTAGTAAAAACAGTTTGTTAAATAATGTGATGATCTTTGTTCCCACTATCTCAGGCTGCAGCCCTTACAGTTCACATGCCAGTTTTATGCACACTTGAATAATAATAATAATAATAATTGATCCTTTATTAATCCCACAAGGGGAAATTCAGTTTTACTGAATAAGATGATAATAAACCTTGGAGCAGAGCAATCCTACTCCAAACTCCCAAGTATTTTTTTTGGTATCTCATTGACTTTATCTTCAACCTCCCTCTCCCTTAACCCCCTCACTCCTGCTCCTCAGAGGGAGATGCAGGTTCAGGACAACCAGCTGGCCCGTCAGCTGATCCGTCTGCGGGGGGAGATTCACCGGCTGAAGGTAGAGCAGGTGTGCGATCGCCACAAGGAGATGCTGGACGATGCAACATACGAACTGGAGGAGTGTGATGAGGAGTCAGACCTGCTGTGTGACATCCCTATGAAGGCGGCCTTCGCTCTGTCCACCCCACTCAAACACCTTGGCCTCACCAAGATGAACATAAACTCCAGACGCTTCTCTCTGTGTTAAAAAGCCCAACCTACTTATCGCTGACTGAGGATATTCTCATCACCTCCTCTGTATTTGTGTAGACATATGAGGCTTATTTTTTTCAGAGGAGTTTTGCCGATAGAATGAAGGGGACCTGCAAGCAAAGTGCTCTGAGTTCAAAAAGAATAACTGCTATGCACCTCGGCTTGACATACAAACGAAAGCCTCCATCTCCAGTCAGCCTTAATACAGACACTTTTTCCTGGACTGAGCCTGAGCCTCTCTACTGCTGCTGACTTCATAGAGCAATGCTCATCACAGTAGTAAGATTGGGCTGAAAAATAAAAGACATGGAATGGGCATTATGTGAAACATCTTACTCCCAACAAATGGCATTGTAAAACAATGTATCATAAGCCTTAAATAAGTGTAAAGTTAGGAGGTTGTTTTAGGAATATGACGACGCTCACTTCAGTCTGCAGGAGCTCTTCAGATAACTACACAGCTAATAAAATTAGATCAAGGGGTCCGAAACAAAGGTTGGAGCCTCAGGAGATGTTTGCAGGATAAAACCATTTACAAAACAGGAACCAAAAAGTATTTTTCATTTTTCAAGCATATCAAATATTATTAAATCTTTTCAGGCCATTGAAATCCAATGATGAACATCTGGAAACCCCTGTTTTACATTTCCAGTAAACCTTACATACTGTGTGCTCTGGCCTAGTCAGATGAATGTCATTCTCTACTGCAACATACTTCAAACACTGGAGTTTTCACAATAGTACTGTTCCTAACAGTATCCTCAAAAAATGTAGGGTTCACACTCTAGCTTTTTTTTTCAAACCAAAAATATCTCCTGAGCCTTGTCACTGCAGTGACAGGACCCAGGAGGCAATGCCTAATGTATTTTATTTTCCATTACTATGTCGAGATGCTGCAGAGCACAGAGTAGTAACCATATATGGCTGGACAGTGACCAAGTGTATCTTACTATGCAGTGGGCAGTTTAGTTCAAGTTGAATGATATATTTTATAACAGCATTCAAAAAGAAGGAATAAAACACTTTTGAGGAGTGATATATAGATTATAACTGCTATTTTCACTTGTATATACAACACACTATTAAAGAGACTTTGCTATATGTATGTTGCTTGTGAATTTTATTTTTTTATTTTCCAATGTTGTTTTAGACGTGCTGTGGAGTAATTCTTTACATCACTCTTATCTTATTCAGGCTAAATGTCACCCCTATTCCATCAGATCCGTCCTCATTATCCGTTCTCAGTTTTGATGTCACCCTGCATTATAGGATCTTCTTTCTGTCCATGAGACATGCACGACCCGGTGTAAAATCCACACATATGAATGGAGCCCTAGAGGCAAACACAGACATTGTTGGAGATAATTTGTTTTACAAGAAACCAAATATGTTTCTGCAAAATCTGTTCATTGTGTGAAATGAGAGCACTACTAGAACTGCTGAGATGTTCACAATGTGGCGTACTTCAGGACATGGATGAGGTCATGTGAAGTCAGACTTCAACAGTTAAAATAAGTATCAAATGGGAAATTTAAAGAGGTAGAGTTTTTTTTTTTTTACCTACAGGCTTTATTCAAGGAATGCCTTTCCAGTGAAATGCCACTGACTTATGTTTCTTATGCCACTCAGCTCTGCCCTGCAGATACTTTCCTTTGACCTTTTCCGCATATCATACCACATGTCATATGAGCAGAGGCTGATAGAAGAGTGTACATAAGGAAAATGTATCCCCAGTTTGTTTAAACTCAAGTCAATGTTGGATATGGTTAAATGCTGTACTGTATGATATACATGAGAAGCATAAGCAAAAAAAAAAAAAAAAAACACAACACACTTGAAGGAGGCCAGCACCTGCATTTTTGAGGTGAGGGTAGGAGGTCTGGAAAACTTTATGCATTTTTGATAGTATCTCTATTTGATTGCGTAACAGAATGTGATTTCCAACCACATTTGGAGGTAGTGACAACTGTAGTTGAGGGGAAACTAGGGATACCCTTAAAAGTTCATAATGCCTGTCAAAAGATGATGTCTAAAGCGGGTAATCATTTTATGATGAATGTGAATTTAAACTGATAAAGTTTTACCTTCTGATGAAATGGAATGGGTGTGAAACTGCATTTTTTCTAGATTTATTGATGTAACATCATGTTACATATATCAATATCAAAATGTAAAAAAGTGATACTTTTGTTTCCCACCCTTCTAGATTTACACTCTCACACTTATATACAGTATATGTTAATGGAAAAGAGAGCGTTAAAGTGGTTTTTATCGCAAGTGACACTTAATCTATGCTGAGGCAGTCTTCTGAGTATACATCTTTGTGCACTTCCTGTAATGTTTGGACTCACTTCCTGCTGGTGCACACTCTGAAGCAGCAGTCGTTCACCACAAGAGAAGCGTTGCAGCCCACAGAGGAGTTTTCAGCAAAGTAGAAGATGCGACAGCACAGGTTTGGAGTTGTCACATATCTGCAAGTCTCGTTTTACTCATGTCTCCACTCAGGGTGAAATGCTGTGGCCCAATTTTAACTGAGAGCTTTGGACATGGTTCATCAACTGATTGACATTTGTTTCCTCTTTGGTTCTAGTTTTGTCTCTTTTTTTTTCATCTTTACTAAGTTGTGAAAACTGGTTTGCTGGCCACAAGCAAGTTAGACCTAAACCACATATGTGATTGATGAAAATAGCCACTCTGCAACCACAAAGCAGCAAAAAAATTCTGTCCCGAATCCTCCAAGAGCTTCTTTAATTTGCATATCTGCAGATATCATACATTATAAATTATTATCTGATGAAATCCTCCCTTGCAGGTTAAGTTCTTCTCAATTAAGGTCACAGACTCACAGATGTTACACACATAAAAAAACATACAAATATAACCTCACCACTGGCTTGGAATTGTATTGGAACATTTGTCTTGGCTTCCACTTTGGGAAAGGTGCTGTCCTGACCCCTTTACAATGGAGCCTATAAAGCTCCCCGTGCTCACACACAGCTGCACGGTGAAGCACCTGTTAAAAGCCTGCAGAGCAACCCTCAACCCTCAACCTCCCAACGACAGGAAACTCACCTCAGCTTCTCTAAGCAGTGTGTACAGTCACACATCGACATTGTTGCCTTGAGTTGGCTATGAAAAGAGAAGCAGATGACGATCTTCACAGCCTCTTTTTGAAGAATTTGTATGACATAAAGAACATTTCTATGGCAGCCCTTGAAATCTGATGTTATTGGATGCTTGACGATTCATTTATAAAGAGGTAAGTTTTATACTTCGGTGTGAGGTTTAGAATGTAGAAAAAAAGAACGTTCAGATTGAGAAAAAAACATTTCCTTGTAATATACAAAAGTTTCATTTATAATATGCTATATAAATCAGAGATGTTGTGGGCTGAGATCATTGAACCTTTAAGAGATAATATTATTTATATTAGAAATGAACATCTTGAAAATTATAACGTCAACATCCAGAACAATTAACAAATCAGCTTGAATACATTTTGTTTCCAAATATGATTAAAAAAAATGCGTACAACTGTCATTTTGTTATGTTGCTGGATTTTTTCATCATCACTGTCCAATTTGTCCAATATTACAAAGAGGACTGGAGCACATGAGGACATTAGGATGCTTACTATAATACAACGTGCTGAAAATGATTCATATTTTTGAGTTCTTTGTCAAAATCGGACGTGAACTTCAAGCTTGTTAGAGTATTGTTTGTATAGTTGGTTTACTCTAAAACATATCTGAATTCAGGAGAAGATGTAGGTGATGACGACGAGTTAAAGTGCAAAGAGACATTGGTATGTGCACATTTTGTGGTGCAATTTCTAGAAAAAATCGAATCTGATTCTCTAATGTAATTCAAAATCTTTTTTTTTTAGATAAGATAAAATAAGATAGGACCTCATTGATACATCAATGCCTTGTGAAATTAATTTAGCCATCCACATACTTCACTGATGATGCCAGCCAGGGAAGTAAAAATGTCAAACGTCCTGGGTCATTATTAAAGGCCTCACTTCCACCATCTACATACCAATAATACTCTGCCAAAGATAACAATCTTAAGTATTATTTTGGAGAGTCCTTCAGCAGATCATAAAAAGTAGAGGGCAGCCCCTCAGTGGAAAATGCTGACTCTGTGTGATTCCCTGAGTGCTGGCCAGTAGGCGTATAGGGGTGACAATCATTGAAAAATAAAGAAAACTCCTCATACCCCAGTGATCATGCTGTGATTGGTTCCTCAGGGTCTCAGTACAGTGGTGGGTTGTTATTGCCGGGTCAGGCGTCCCCAGATTTTTCTCACGGCTTTGAGCCTTTGGGACAGACGGCCGCTGCGATTAGCCCACTGACCCTGTTCCATGAGAGTTCCAGTGGGAGCCAAGTGAGCTTGAGAAAGCTGGTTTGTACAGAGCACCAGAGTAAACCACAATGCAGAACACGTGCAGACATTGGATTACATGAGATTAGTTTTTGTACTGTTTTATATTGAGCCTGCTTTTCACATCAATTCTCATTTTTCAACACGTAAAGGCCTGTGATTTAGTTGCCTGTAACAGTTATGGATTAGATTTATGTGATTTTAAATGACTTTTTTTCCCCCAGGTTTGTAAGGCGTTTAAAAGAGTGTCAAATGAAAGCTTTAACATTTTTGAGCCTCTTAATTTCACCACTGAGCCTCCATTTTGAAGTGAAACCCTGAGACATTTCCGACTAGAGGTTTCAGGAAAATAAAATGTGTTAACTCATTTTGCTGTCACACAAATTTAGCTGGAATTAAAAAAAAAAGAAGCTTTTTTTTAATGTTTGGTCTCATCTTCAGCTAACAGTAGTTGATGTATTCAAATAAAAATGCACGGTGGGATGTTTGAAAACTAGGCTAGACCGCCAGGACAGAAGTTATTCATGTAACATTGTAGCTATTTAAAATGCGCGTAAAAATAATTCCATAAGATGCATTTTGCCATTAAAATGAGAAATCGTTATCAATGTAGCACTTCATACCCATACAATACCCATTACAAATATCTTTGACCTTTACATTGCAGAAAAGATGGGATGTAACTGCAGCTCAGACTATTCAGACAGTGACTGGATCGAGAACTTGGATGAAATCTGTGATCACTGCAACTGTCCCATACCTCCCCAGTCATGCAATCCAGTAAGTGTCAATGTACTTTTTGTACTGTTTGTGTTGGTGTCAGTATATTCACATGGTTGCGTATGGATAGGCGTCTGTGTGTAAGTCAGCTTGGGTTGTTCTTGAGGTTAAATATGGTGGCCAGAGGTGAAAAGGTGTCAACATGACCGTCATGTTGTGTGAATTACAAGAATATTATGCAAAATACAATTGTGTGCTGAAGTCCAGACAAGTTGTATAACTGTGTTGGACATGTGTGTGTGTGCGCGCGCGCGTGTGTGTGTGTGTGTGTGTGTGTGTGTGTGTGTGTGTGTGATTAAATGGAAGTTTAATTCTTCTCCCAGTGTTGTTGTTTCCTCTCCATGAGTGAGATGATTAGATTAAAAAATAAAAGAGAAAACCACCTGTGTGCACCTCAATACATCTAGACGTTGCGTCTCCGAAAAAAAACCAGACAAAACTATGCTAAGAAATGACGCCTGCCTAAAAAAAACAGCAACGTTCACATCTCACTGTGGATGTCACATGTGTGGTGCCTTGTTTTAACACATACTGTTTTGTTCTTTGGAAAGTAGAATTTCAAACGCACTTCTCATCATGTTTTTCTCAACAGTACACTGACCAGCTGATCTCATCACAATATTCACCTCCCATGTCTCCTTTACCAGGTAACAAGAAACAGCGTACCTTTCTGTTTATTTAATTGTTGTTGAAGTGGCTTCAGGCGCATGTGAGACAAGTGTTCGCTTATTGCTTTTGAAAGAGTAGAATTATGTGAGAGAAGACTCAAAGAACTTTTTAACTTATTTCTTATCGGTAATAAATTACAGACACAGATATATTAGATGTGTATTAAATAAACAGATGTTTTTGTTTATTGTCAAAAAACGACAAAACATAGGGAAATATAGAAGACTGCCTTATTATTTTTCTATGGCTTATGTCCAGTCACAATTTATT